ATCGTTGTAAAAAGACTTGATGTGACAAGAGTACCTGGGAGAATTATATTTTATTCAACGAAATATAAAATTCAATAAATAAAGAAGTCGTACAACTTATCTGCAGACGTTGCTGGAGGTAGGCTCGGAGAGTGTGCAGAAAGAGAGCACAACAAGAGAGCGAACCGATGAACGTACGGAAGACTCACAAGTCAAAAGGTAAAACGTGGATCACCGTGGGTGAGTCAGTTTAAACAAAAGTTCAAAGGTACAATGTGCACTACAGTATCATTCAATGAAGACTTCATGTCTCAGGATATCAGTACAGCCTATTTTCGTGTGAAGAACAGTCTTTTTTGACAAAATAATTGTCTCAATACTTGGAAATCACCTGCAAATGTTACCAGAATCGTTGGTGGGACCCTAAGTTGTCATTTAGATGTGCTTTTCACTTTATCTGTGGTTGCCCAGCTAGCATTTTTTTCGGGCGCATTGCAGAATTTTTGGGGCAGACTTAGGCGCATTGCAGAATTTTTGTGGCAGACTTAGGGCACATTGCAGAATTTTTGGGGCAGACTTAGGGCGCATTGCAGACTTTTTGGGGCAGACTTAGGGCGCATTGCAGAATTTTTGGGGCAGACTTCGGGACAGTGTCCCACGTAAGTAGATTTACCCGAAGTTTTTTGCCCCAAAAATTCTGCAATGCGCCCGAAGAAAATGCTAGCTGGGTGGACAGGAATTATGGTAAGTTGAAAGGTTATCTCTAAATGGATTTCATATATATTGGCACTGGTTGGTGCAGTGTGCTATGGGTTATGTTAATTAAATGTACAAAAATATCTCAACTGTAATAATATTGGGCCATTGTCTACTTAGCTGATTGATAGGATAACAAACGAAGGTGGTTACTAGAACTGAATCTATTCAGCTTTATTATCATTAATATGAATTTATTCTCTTTTACAATTTCCACTGACTGTATACTTAATGCTACAATATTTTTGATCACCAATAGTGGAGATGAATTTCTCCTGAGATTTCCATTTAGACAAAGCAGTACAGATGCTCTATGACGATTGAATTTTCTAGTTTGCATTATATGACATTATTATCCTCATCAACACAACAGGTCTATGTACTTTACAATAGTTGAAGTGTTTCACTATGTTGTTAGCACTGTGCATAGCTGTCTAGAGTTGAGGCATGTTCAGCTTATATTTGATGCCTATAGTCTCCTAAATGTGAAAACGTGATTTCTGTAGGATTCACAAAACCTTGTGGACTAGACATTACTGAGATTGTGGATTAACTTCTAAGTTATACACTTGCAATACTTCATTTCATGTAAAAGTGTTTAGTGTGAAGTTGATCTGCAAGTAAGCTTGATGAGAGAATGACGCCTCAATAGTATGAATGTTCCAGAGGTTGCCTTGAAATTTGCATATAGTCCTCAAATGCAGGAAAACATATGATGTATATTTATGTATACGGCGTCAACATAAATATCAGCTGTAGACTACAAATACATTTATCTCCCTGAGATAATACTTAGTTTTAACAGAATGATTGTATTCATATTGTATGCTAATATGTGGAATTATCTCTTGTTAACTTCATGTTATGCTAGTTCTAACATGTACTTTATTTTTTCCAGGTATACGGAGGTTGTCGAATATGAAATCAGCGGAAACATCATTCGGTCAAACTAACTTTATAACCCTTCATCAGAATTTTCTTTTGTAAATTAATCAAATGTTTAATATACTCTTGATTACTTCTTCCTGTAGACTTCTTCAATTCCTCGCTATACTATGTGCTTTTGTAATAAGTGAATTAGGAATAATAAACGCTAAGCTTAGTTAGTGGGATGGAGATTTACTGTAGTATTATGAGAATGTTACTTTAGTCATTAGTAGGATTTCGTGTCTGTTTCTACACAATAGCACATTGTAAAAGCTAAGTGGGATTTAGCAAGTTGAATAATAATTCTGTACTGTTGGATACTCTAAAGTCGCCTTATCTAGCCAGTTGAAAGTCTGTATACTGTTAAACGCCAAGTATGTAGTACAAGTAAATGTAGTAACTTAGGCTTGATATCTACTTCACTAATCCGTTAATATGCAGTGACATCATCAAATAGACTGTTCACTTGACGATCAGCTAAGAAACATTTTTTATTTATTTTAATATGCCGTTGAATCATAGGATGTTATCTAGTATCCATCATTTCTGTGATCAAAAACTGCGGTATTTGCATGTCTACTTTATAGATGTTAAATAACCTACGCCTGTATGCATGTAATTACCTCCAGTATTTCCTATTCATTTGGTGTGTGTAAACTAAACAAGTCTTTCATAAATTCTCCCATAAATGCCAAACTTTCTAGTGTTACAAGCGTTAATAAGACCTGCTTCCTTTGTTTCAAATCAAATGAGGTATATACGAACTAAGGGAAAGTTACTCTTACTTAATCTTTAACCCTCACTCAGAGCCTTTAACGATCCCAAACAGTTCTCCTATAAACACAGTAGACGTACTTTAGATGCAGCTGCAGTCTTGCTTCACAACATTTTCTCCAGTATAGACAATGGGGCTAAATTCGCTGCACCTTCCTAGAATACACATCTGCTTTCGACTCAGTACCTAGAGATATTCTGTTAGATAAGCTTGCTGAAACTCAAACTGAGTATTGGATTGTTAGATGGCTTCATTTTTATTTATCAGGGAGAAAGCAGTACACTGTAGGTCAGGGGGAAGTCGTCCATTACCAATTGTATTTTTGTTTGATGAACTTATTGTACGAATGCATACGAAGAACTTTTTCAAACACGCGGACGATCTAACTACTTCAATGTCTGTTAACTGCCAGCTACACTGTACTAAGATGAACAGCTCTCTATTAGGAGTGGGAAAATGCTCTTAAACTAAATCCTTCGAAATGTCAGACTGTTATTTTCAGTTTCCGATGTAAACGAAAGTTAGTTGAAGGTGTTAATTCCTATGACCGTTGCAAAATTGATAATAGTGATATGGAAATGAAGTCTGACTTTAAGTATCTCGGACTGATTCATCGCAGCGTGTTGGCCCTAAATGTATGCCACATGCAGGCATAATGTTTATGAGCTAGGTATGCAAATCATGGTAGACGCTTGTACGGTACATTCATTATTTATAAAACTAACTCGCACGTAAGAACTATGGTTTGATCAGTTATACAACGTTTAATACATTTAGACACAATTAACCTACGATGCCTATGACGCATTACCTAAAACTACATTAATATAGTTTCCGCTGAAGGTTATCTCCTATAGTTACCACCTTAGTGGGCAACTTAGCGTTATCTTTGAATAACGAAAATTCCGAGAACTTTCTTGGTAAAAAGATCGTCCCTTACTCGAAAAAATTAAATATACCCTAGTCTCCCCAAAAACGTTCAGAGGTATTCATCCTATCACCGCAAACGACTCACTATTTGCAGCCATTTAAAAAGTAAAAATAAATTTACCGATGGCAGCGTGCTTATGATTTCTAGATATCATAATGTACCATGAAGGAAACGCTATATCCATGCGGTTATAACAGTCAGATGCGCGAAATTAGTCCAAAACACAACAACCACGATTCTCAGTCACATAACATCTTACTTCGCTACCTAATCGTATAATCGTATCAACGGATGTTTCGCCGAAGAAAAGAAGACTACTGGTTCAAGGAAAATTTATTTAGTTTTTTATAAAGATCGTGAACATCTGTGTTTATAGTCACGGAAAAATCACAACTTCGAGGAAACCACCGGTCGTAGACTACAACCCGAAACGTTATTTTTCCTAATTAATGTCTTACCTTTAACTGGGATTGTTCGTACACTCACCAGATCACCGTATTTTATCCGCTTTGAAAACCGTTTTGCAACCCATCGAATGGATGTTAACACTGGCTCTATTACGGGTAGTCCTAGTTCATGTATTGCGATCTAGTACATCAAGCAATAATAAGCATAAGTAACACTTACCCTTAAGGATTCCAGGTTCTTTTAGTTCCCCCAAAATGCACACAAGCACAACAGATTCATACTTTTCATGCGGCTCAACCTTATTTGGCTTAGATTCTCTCACAATATATTTTTTTAAATGATAGCAGACACACGGATGGTATATTCACATTCTCAAAAAGCTTCAAAGCTTTTTCAACTTCAACCCAGGTTCTAAATTTTCCAGGTTTAATTTGTTCTTCGAAAACTTTGCTAACATTAACTCTGATAGTGTTCCCTCTAACAGATTCACTCGCAGATTGTTGCATGCTGTAAACATGAACGAGAAAGACACTTTTTTTCTCACGATTTCTACATCTTAGGTTATTAAATGAGCCAGCAAGAATAACGGCAACCAATAAACGGACTGAAAACAACTGCTTCTGCCAACCAAACGTCTTCATGTGCATGATTTCCGAAACTTCTACACATTACCAATTCATTAACAGCTGAAAACCAACTAAAACACTGAAAGCCGCATAAATACAAGGTATGAAACAATTACACCGAAATGAATGCACTGACCTGGTAGTGAAAAGTTCCAAAACCAAAGAAATAATTCATTTTAACAGCAACAGAAACAAAAAATGAGGTGAAACGCAACATTTGTGAACAATACGCAACAAGATAAGTCGTGCATAACGGCAGGATAAACGGAACAACAAACGCGTACACGAAGAGCTACGGAACTGCAATCCAACATGGCCGACTGATATGGACGAAAATGACCTCCGAGCGTCTCACTCCACCAATGACCTTGATAAGTTACGGATAATTTCAGCCGAAATCTACCCATCACAGCGTGCATAAGTGACCTTCAAGTGCTCAGCCTCTCCATAAGCCATTTGGGCAGCTATCCTCCATCACGGGCTGTCGGACAGGCCATCAGGAGTGTTATAGATTTTGTCGTGTCCTGCTCTTTTTTGGGTAAGCTCTAAGTGCTCACCTAAAAGCTTGTTAGCGAGAAAATCACTGTTTCGCGAAGTAATGTGGGGTTTGTTTTGTAATGCAATAGAAATGACTATAATGCCACTAAACAAGTTTCTTTTTCAGAAAGAAACGTTGACGTGGCATCACTGGAACATGAGGAAGATCGGTTATCTAGACTTGTTATAAGCGATGATAACTAGCTTGTAACCCGGTTAATTCAAGTCCAGCTTGCTGTCTGAAATAAACGTCTCTTCCTCGCCGTCTTTGCATTCTTCCTTCGTCAGTCGTGATTGTGGTCTGCGTACGCACACACGTGTGTTATAGTTTATTGTCTTCAGAAAATAAAGTTGTTTTTCTCACCAAAATGCATTTGTGATACCTTACCGCTGTACCTACAGAAAGTCAGCAAAAACTTATTTTTGCGGTATACATAGTATCAGTTTATTATTATTCTGCATTATCTGCTTGTGGTTCAAAACAATTTCAGGGTTAATGTAAGCTTGAGTTCGTTAAATAGTGAGCCTTCGCGACCCCATTTACTTCATGGGGCTGCTCTTAGGGTATGCAGATGATAAAATCCTGTATCGGAAGCCTGACATGATCTAGAGTCTTTTGAACACCTTGATTTTCGTTTGAATAATACTTATGTTAACAAAGCATTATCATGACAGTGGGTTTCTAAAACATTCACTGCAGCCAGCATTGACTTTTGGGGCACTGCAGAATCGTTGGAGCAGACTGCAGATTACTGTCCCACATTCTGCAATGCTCCCGAAGAAAATGCTAGCTGGGCACCGGATGTTTTAGGAACCTACCGTTACATGTTCATATCTATTACTGAATTTGGCCTCCCTTTATTTCTTACTTAAGCTATGTCACCTAACCGTGGTAAATATGAACGTAGAATTCTTTCGGCTAAAAGGAAAGCAAGATCAGAACTTGGCGAGTCTCCTCATAGTTGGTGGGCCTGTGCGTATGCAGATAACTTCGATCTATCACTGAAATCTGTTCGTGATTGTTGTCCGCGTATTGATTTCTTCCAAGTGTCTTACGAAGAGTTTGTGGCTAAATATGAACTTCCTTACCAACCTGTTGTAATTCAGAACAGTCAGATAGGTTGGAAAGCAAGTGAAAACTGGACATTAAAGGTAACCTATATTTGTTTTACCAACTAATACTTCATTCCAGCGTTTGGATAAAACGTATCATAACGAGAAATTCAAATGTGGTGAAGATGACAAGGGCTATTCTGTGAAATTAAAAATGAAGTACTTCATTCAATACATGCTAGAAAATAGAGATGATAGTCCATTATATATATTTGATGCAAACTATGGCGAAGCAAGTGCGACATACTTGTTTAGTTTACTCCTAATAGCACTCGAAGCTCAGGAAATTATTGGATGACTACTCGATATGCCGTTACTTCAAAGAAGATTTATTTGCATTAGGTGGTGAAAAAACGCGACCTCCTTATAGGCAAGTTTGTTTGCGTTTTACTTCATTCCGTTTATTCACATGTCTAATCACAAATGTGACTTTATTTCGGTTTAGAATTACAATAGAAAAACATCCTTGACAATGAAAGTGGATGTAATAATCATTGTAGTAAGAAGAAGACGGATTTGAGAAATTAGGTAGTCTATCACCACGTCCTATCTCAGTGACATGAGACCCAAAATTGAAGTTTAGACGAAGTGACTATCGGTGCTTTCTGGCTTCTGTTTTGGTAGTAAAAACGGGGTTCATAGTAGCATATTTTGCCGAAAGAAACTTTGAAGTTGATTACTACAGTTCCTTTGAGACTTATGCAAACATAACTTTTACGTTTATCTGACTTTCATTCAATGGTAGAAAAGTAACATTCATGAAAATCTTAAGCTTTTGTTTCACACACATATGAGTCTACATAAAAGATCAGTATAGGTACCACCGAGTAAGCACTACGTACAGTGTATTCTTATCTATGGTAAATCGCAGGTTGAGTCAGATAATCCTAACAATTTTCTTTATTTAGGTGGTTTGTGATGGGTCCACCACGTTCCGGTACAGGTATACACATAGATCCTCTTGGAACCAGCGCTTGGAATGCTTTGGTTAAGGGATATAAAAGGTAAGAAGTTTGGAACAGTAACAAAATGAGCATGTATACAGTGTGACTACAGCATTAAACTAATTCCATTCCCCAATACTCGGTTTCATAATAGGTGGAAGAAGACACTTCTCCAGGATCACACTTTGACTGACTGACTGGATTCAACATACAACTTTGCACCGATGTGCAGCAGTTCAAGTCGCCACACTTTATTCAGCACACAAAGCAAGATTAGAAAGTAAAAAGAAACGCAAAACAGACAGTTGACAGGGATATGAGGCAAAAAACATCGTAATATCGAAAAACTATATAATTTTATTGGGTATTATATGTTGAAATGAGTGGATCCATCTGCACCAGCCATTGGAGTCAACCGTCTCGAGGACCCCAACCAGCAAGTCCTACGTCGCTTAAACTAACTGTTGTAGATTTCATTAAATGATGAAGCCATCTTTCGGTTTGACCACCACTGGTTCTTTTCCAACCTGACCCTATGTCGGCTAACGTTGCTCGTTGTCGAGGAAGGCGATGACTAGGCCTGCGTAACGCATGTTCTAACCATCTCAATCCATGTAACTTCACAGCCTCGTCTATTGATTTCCCCTCCTTATCTAGCATTCGACACCTAAACTCAATATTGCTCACCTTATTATACCACTTCACACGGGAGATACAGCACAGTTACCTATGATCAAAGGCAGCTAGCCAGGCTTTTCAAGTCTTCCACTCTCAATGGACAGGTCTCACAGCCAAAAAGGAGGACGGAGAGGACTGCTGAGCAGTACATCCACCCTTTGGTCGATAGATGGATATCACATCTACGCCACAAACGGAGTAAACTGGCATTTGCGAAACTAGCCCTCTATATCCGTGCGGCGATTTCGTCAGAGATCAGCCCGTTAGGGTTGATGGTACTTCCCAAATAAGTGAAGCGGTCATCGTGCTCTGCCACTTCACCCCCTATTTCTAAATTAGGAGTCAGTGTAGTCCAATCCTGTAGCATCATCTTACATTTGGCGGGAGCGAATCGCATGCCAAAAATTCGTAGATTGCAGCTCAAGGTGTTCAGAAGACTCTGCATTGTGTCAACATCTTCACCTAAGAAGGATTATGTCATCTGCATATTTTAAGTCAACGAGACTATTATTCCTTGATGGCAACAAGCCAATCCCTGAGTCGCTGAAGTCATTTAGGGTTAAGTCCATTAGTACATCTTTGATGAAATTAAACAGAAATGGGGGACAGTGGGTATCGCCGACGGACACCACTAGTCGTCACCAGTTCAGATGACAACTCGCTGTAAGCTCTCACCTAGTTACATGGGTTCAAGTAGAGTGTCTTGATCAGTGAGATGTATTTTCTCGGAATTCCCTCCATAGCCAAACATCGGCATAGTAACTTTCGGTCGACGTAGTCGAATGCCGCTTTCAGGTCAAGAAATATGACGATTGTTAGACGCCGACAAGTACGCCTATTTTCCAGAAACTGTCGAAGGGTGAAGATGTGATCAACACACCCTCTTCCTGGTCTAAAGCCTGGCTGGTTCTCTCGTGTTTGTACTTCCCGAGCACCACTTAGTCTACGCATTATTATTGAGCCTAGAACTTTAGATGCCATATCAGTCAAGCTAATCCCCTTGTGATTATCACATCAAGACTTGTCTCCCTTCTTCTATATGGGGATAACCAATGACTTACACTAACCCGACGATACTCCCTTTGATTCCCAGACGCTGCCTAGTACCTCAGTTAGTGCAGACAGTAAACTGTCTCCACCGTACTTAAATACCTCTGGAGTCATTCCATCAGGTCCCGCTGCTTTTCCTAGTTTCAGATTGGTGACAGCTTTAGTAACCTCAGTTATGGACGGAGGACTTGTGCATATGTCCCATTTGGGGAGGTGTTGGATGTTCAGCAGGCTGAGCGTGGCTGTGGGCCAATTAAACTGCTCCTCATGGTGCTCTTTCCAGCGTTCCAGTCGTCTATCCTGAGAGCTAATTATGGTGCCATTTTTCTCAGAGATTGTTTCACTTATCATTTGCCTTTGGCCACCTGTTTCCCTGATAAGCCTGAATAGTTGTCTGGTGTTGCCAATCGCTGATGCCTTTCCCATCTCTTTCGCCTTTGTTGCCCACCACTGTTCACGGTCGTTGCGAATACTTCTTGTTAGTTTTCGTTTGAGTAGCTTTCGCTCCTCATCATAGTCGGAGCTCGCTGGAATCAGTCTTCTTGCGTCAATCAGTTCGGATGAGGCGGTAGAGATCCAGTGCCTCTTACTAACCTTTGGTTTTGGCTTACTAACAGCTTTTACAGCTGTGTCTACAACTATCTGTATGTTGTGCCAGGCTACCTCAGGAGGAGTCCTGCTGTCGACCTCAGGTACTCGTTTCGCTACTTCCCCTCATATAGGGACTCACAGTCTCAATCCAGTTGGAGACGTACCTGCTATGCTTCTAACATTTTTTGTCCGTTGAGACGTAAGCATAAACGTTTGCAAACCAGTGCGTGATCAGAGTCTGCGCAGTTTATATACTGACCCTCGCCAACGACACCCTATCGCTGTGGTCTATCTGAGTCCAGCATTGACTTGGTGATGGAGGTCGCCAGGTTATACAATGTGTCTCTTTGTGCCTAAAGTTAGTGCTCACTAGGAGCAGATGATTATCTGAACAGAGCTTTAGAAGACGGTCGACGTTGGCGGTTCGTTGGGAGGGGACTCCGTACGTATCACCTACATACTTCTCAGTCTGGCACAACTTCCCTACTTGGGCATTGAAGTCGCCTGCTAAAACAACTATATCTGAACGTTTTGCTTTTTGCAGCAAATTAGACAGTTTCAGGTAGAAGTCATCCTTTAGTTCATCCGAACTGCAGTCTGTTGGTGCGTAAGTGGAGACTACGAAAAGACAAGACGGGTAACGCCGTCCTTCCTTCTTCTAACGGACCTATTCAGATGGACCACGCATATACGACTGTCTACTGGAATTCAGTGAAGAAGTGATTTTTCTGCCCTAACACTCAGTGCTATTCCTACACCTGCGAGTCTTCGCGAGCTAGCTGAGGGGTCTCCTGACACCCTTAAAGGGAATTTTCCAGATTCACCATGTTGACCGAGTGAGGTCAAGGGAATGATCACACTCGGGTCTTGTATGCGTGTCTCCGAAACACAACATACATGCATGGCTCGAGTTGCCAGAGTTCTTGCTAGTGGTGCCTGTTGTCCGATTTGGCAGAGGGTCCTGACGTTAAATGCTCCTATATGAAGTTGGTGACGTGGCTTTCGGGAGTGTTTCTATGGCTTTCACCGTTGTTTGTGGTCACAGAGTGGTGAAGATGACTCATTAGTCTGCAGAATAGTACTAGCTGTAGTAGAGAAGCAAGATGAGGAAGTTGATGTGAGTGAAGGGGAATGATGCTCAGGAAGGTTTCGTGTGCTTTTGGAAGTGTGTTGGTGGTTTTTACTTCCCGGCTGCCCACACCGTGGAAGTTAGTTGCGTGACCGCAGAACTACAACCATTTGATCAACGAAGATTCTAGAATTCCACGATAAGTTGCTTTCCACCTTATTCATTATATGCAGGTTTTTGACTCCTTATTATATTTCGATTTAGTTTCAGAACTCAAAAGCGGTTTTATTCTCTCTTAGATGGTGCTTATTTCCCCCCCAAACTCCAAAATATCTTCTTAAGCCCGGTCCATCTGACGGGGGCAAGAATCGAAACGAGGCTATCTCTTGGTTCGTCTATGTATATCCTCGCACACAATCATTTAACTGGCCAAAAGAGTATGCTCCCATCGAAATACTTCAGTGTCCTGGAGAGACTGTTTTTGTTCCAGGTGGTTGGTGGCATGTTGTTCTCAATTTGACCGATACTATTGCTGTCACGCAAAACTTCTGCAGGTTAGTCTTAGTGTTGATATACTAAAATTACAAAATGTTTGGTGTTTTCATTACGGAAAATAAAGGCTCATAAATCAAATCGAACTTACACCAGTAGCCAGTCAAATCACTGATGGTAGTAGTTTTTGCCGCGAAAGGCTTACTGTTTCACTTGTTTACCACTTAAGTGACCAGTGAATGTCAACCCGGATTATGTTCATTGTTTTGCATTTCATACTTCTATGAAATTTAACTCACATCATTTAGTCTTATTATTTCTCTTTGAATGGCCACAGTTCTGCTAATTTTCCTATTGTATGGTACAAAACTGCTCTGGGAAGACCGAAATTCTCCAGAAGATGGTTGTCTGCTCTAAGAATGCATCGTCCTGATCTGGCAAGAATCGCAGATGAAACAGATCTTTCAAAGCATATTCCCGATGTTCCATCATCTTCTTCATCATCTTGTTCATCTTCACGTTCGTCGTCTTATTGCTCAACTTGTACTTCCAGAAGTCCGTCTCCAGATAAGACTTTTGCAAGAAATAAGTAAGTTATTCATTTTAAGTGGCTCATGCGTTGCTGTATTACCTAGAGTAACGGTTTTCTCGCTGTTCCTATTTCCTTTAACTTGGTCGTGTTTCTGGTAGATCACTAAAATGTGTAGCTCAGGGTTACCTGCTTCATTATTATACACAATAATAGTGTCAAGTTCCGTCGGCTCATCGAAAGAAAGCCCTATCTTATTTGGCTGTATGATACTAATGCTTGACAGGTATAACGTTTTTGAGATGTCTTTATTAAAAAAAAAGATGTCTTTATTATTGAAACAACCCCTACTGAGCAAAGTTTCTGTCAACAGACATTTTAGGGTTATACTATTTTACAAAACATGCTAAAAAGTTAAAGCAGCCTTAACTTACAAATTAAGGTAAGCGATAAATTTACTGTACATGCTTTCGAACTCTTGGAATTTGGTGAAATATTATATATAGTTTGATAACTTACATTTTAATTGATTCTAGTATCTTGGCCTTTTAGATTTGCATTCGCAACGTGATCAAAAATTGAAGAACTGCAAATATGAATGCATTCTTAGTGTTAACACTACCTTTTTACAGAAAATCGTCTCGAAGCTAAGTGACACAATCGTAGTCGACAGTCGAACTTAAAATTAGAAATTATATTCAAAATTTATTTAGGAGTAATGTTATGCTCTCATTGAAAATATGTATTAATAATGTTTGTCTTATTGTTTCAGCCGACCAGGGCTACCACCAGGCCCCAGATCACCATCTCCAAAGCGAAGGCGATGATCAGGTGGTTTTTCTTATCAAGTAGTTGCCTTTGTCAGGGACTAGTTCTAAAGTTAACATTGTAAACTCAAGAGTATATTTTTTAAATAAAGTTTTTATCCCGTTATGTGGTACTTGATTCTTGCGCACATAGCCTACTGTATACGTAGAACAAATGTCGTTCACGAGGCAACCAACTTTCAGGTAGAGGGTTTTAGATTCAAGTTGTGTTTTGCTATTTACATATAGAGTGGTAGTGATATATATATATATATATATATATATATATATATATATATATATATATATACATTAGTTGATAATAAGTATTATTTTCAGTGGTTGGACGGTGCAGTCTGTCATGAAACTTTGATAATGCTTAAAGTTGGTTCAGTTCACAATATATTCTCGTGGAGAAGTCAGTTGTATAAGTACGTGTTAGTGTCAGAAGATAACAGTGTGATATCATGTTCCATAGGATTCTATACTGATCTGTCTGTCAGTACACTGATATAATATGAAATGCTCATTTTCGAACATTTTCCTGTAGTTATTCATATAAGGATTAAACTGGGGCACTGTGGTAGAGTATAATTCCATTCCATTTATTCTGGTAAAGTTTCACAGGGATATTTACTGATGACGTTTTGAGCACAATTTGTTGCTCATAATCATATCAAGGTATTAAAAACATTTATTTCCCGATACGAATTTAAAACACGCAATAAACGTTGATAAAGCAGGATTTGATGAATTCATCAAATTTCGGTAGAACTCGTCGGCTGAATACTCTATATACACGGATATATATACTTTTGAAATAACATTGTGAGATATAAAACTGATAAGTAAACATACTACAATGTATTAGTCATGCAGAAACACAGCTGCGTATGTTATCAAGATAATCACAAATTTCTTACTTCGTTTATCCCTATGTATTGGCATCCTCTATAGAACATTTTTAATAGTTGAATCCGTTTTACCTTTTAATGCTTACGTCTTAACGGACAAAAAATGTTAGAAGCATAGCAGGTACGTCTCCAACTGGATTGAGACTGTGAGTCCCTATATGAGGGGAAGTAGCGAAACGAGTACCTGAGGTCGACAGCAGGACTCCTCCTGAGGTAGCCTGGCACAACATACAGATAGTTGTAGACACAGCTGTAAAAGCTGTTAGTAAGCCAAAACCAAAGGTTAGTAAGAGGCACTGGATCTCTACCGCCTCATCCGAACTGATTGACGCAAGAAGACTGATTCCAGCGAGCTCCGACTATGATGAGGAGCGAAAGCTACTCAAACGAAAACTAACAAGAAGTATTCGCAACGACCGTGAACAGTGGTGGGCAACAAAGGCGAAAGAGATGGGAAAGGCATCAGCGATCGGCAACACCAGACAACTATTCAGGCTTATCAGGGAAACAGGTGGCCAAAGGCAAATGATAAGTGAAACAATCTCTGAGAAAAATGGCACCATAATTAGCTCTCAGGATAGACGACTGGAACGCTGGAAAGAGCACCATGAGGAGCAGTTTAATTGGCCCACAGCCACGCTCAGCCTGCTGAACATCCAACACCTCCCCAAATGGGACATATGCACAAGTCCTCCGTCCATAACTGAGGTTACTAAAGCTGTCACCAATCTGAAACTAGGAAAAGCAGCGGGACCTGATGGAATGACTCCAGAGGTATTTAAGTACGGTGGAGACAGTTTACTGTCTGCACTAACTGAGGTACTAGGCAGCGTCTGGGAATCAAAGGGAGTATCGTCGGGTTAGTGTAAGTCATTGGTTATCCCCATATAGAAGAAGGGAGACAAGTCTTGATGTGATAATCACAAGGGGATTAGCTTGACTGATATGGCATCTAAAGTTCTAGGCTCAATAATAATGCGTAGACTAAGTGGTGCTCGGGAAGTACAAACACGAGAGAACCAGCCAGGCTTTAGACCAGGAAGAGGGTGTGTTGATCACATCTTCACCCTTCGACAGTTTCTGGAAAATAGGCGTACTTGTCGGCGTCTAACAATCGTCATATTTCTTGACCTGAAAGCGGCATTCGACTACGTCGACCGAAAGTTACTATGCCGATGTTTGGCTATGGAGGGAATTCCGAGAAAATACATCTCACTGATCAAGACACTCTACTTGAACCCATGTAACTAGGTGAGAGCTTACAGCGAGTTGTCATCTGAACTGGTGACGACTAGTGGTGTCCGTCGGCGATACCCACTGTCCCCCATTTCTGTTTAATTTCATCAAAGATGTACTAATGGACTTAACCCTAAATGACTTCAGCGACTCAGGGATTGGCTTGTTGCCATCAAGGAATAATAGTCTCGTTGACTTAAAATATGCAGATGACATAATCCTTCTTAGGTGAAGATGTTGACACAATGCAGAGTCTTCTGAACACCTTGAGCTGCAATCTACGAATTTTTGGCATGCGATTCGCTCCCGCCAAATGTAAGATGATGCTACAGGATTGGACTACACTGACTCCTAATTTAGAAATAGGGGGTGAAGTGGCAGAGCACGATGACCGCTTCACTTATTTGGGAAGTACCATCAACCCTAACGGGCTGATCTCTGACGAAATCGCCGCACGGATATAGAGGGCTAGTTTCGCAAATGCCAGTTTACTCCGTTTGTGGCGTAGATGTGATATCCATCTATCGACCAAAGGGTGGATGTACTGCTCAGCAGTCCTCTCCGTCCTCCTTTTTGGCTGTGAGACCTGTCCATTGAGAGTGGAAGACTTGAAAAGCCTGGCTAGCTGCCTTTGATCATAGGTAACTGTGCTGTATCTCCCGTGTGAAGTGGTATAATAAGGTGAGCAATATTGAGTTTAGGTGTCGAATGCTAGATAAGGAGGGGAAATCAATAGACGAGGCTGTGAAGTTACATGGATTGAGATGGTTAGAACATGCGTTACGCAGGCCTAGTCATCGCCTTCCTCGACAACGAGCAACGTTAGCCGACATAGGGTCAGGTTGGAAAAGAACCAGTGGTGGTCAAACCGAAAGATGGCTTCATCATTTAATGAAATCCACAACTGTTAGTTCAAGCCAATGACATAATAAGGTGTAGACTTTATTGTCGGGGTCCTCGGGACGGGAAAAATCAATGGTTGGAATGAATTGGTGACATGGCTCAAAATCCTTCTCCATGGCGCAGATGCATCCACTCCCTGTGACTTATGATTTCCAATGAAACTTTATTGTTCTTCGTTATTACTATTTCTTTGTCTCTCATTCTGTTAACTGTCTTTATTATGCATTTCTTCTACTGTCTTCTCTTTCTTTGTGTGTTTCATGGAGTGTGGCGACTTGATCTGCCGCACATGTATGCGAAGTTTTACGTCGAAAACAGACAGACAAATATCTAATCGATAGAATTTTTGAAGCAAAATTCACGAATTGAAGTCAAAAAATTGAGTGTGTGATGCCGAAAAAGGTTTTCAATGGTAGTGTATTCATGATTTAGTGAATATCGCAAAGTATTCAAGTACGTTGAACAAATAACCATAACGTCTTCAGATCTGAAGAGAGTTCAGGTAACTGCATTGTGTAGGGCAATATAATGAGGGATAAAGAAGTTAATTGTAGATTTTTAAGTCATGTTGAAGTAGGATTGGGTTGTCAGACTGTTGTTCTCAATAGCCTAACAAACCATGGCTGCAGACTCTTGGTGACTTGCGTCAGAAATATTCTCAGTTTTACAGGTACATTCACGTAGTATTATTTCCCACATTCTAAAAACGTCCAGTAACCTTCATTTAGCGTCGGTGGTTCAGCATCAGAATGCTCGCAAGTGCGTACTTGGTCAGGAGTTCCATCCTCGGTTGACACACTCCTAAAGCTCACTTAGACCGAATAGTTCCCAGTAGAGAGGGTGGGTTGGGCGTGAGGTTAGAAATCCCGCTATGTAAAAAAAGAATAACAACACTACTACTGGAACTTCGAAATTCAAAACTTGAAGCCCTATGTTTCACTTTGAACGCAAAGTAATAAATAAAATCTTCATTTAATTATTCCTCTTTCCACACACCGTTTGTTCACTGCACATTTCTCTCCTCTTTCTTATATTCTTGCTTTAAGTATAACAGCGTAAAATGATGCATATCTCTGCTGTGTTACGTTAATTTCTCCGTCAGTCCCTACTTCAAGGTAACATCATATCATTATGGTATAGCAATTGTTGGTAGGTGAAAATATGAGGGAGCAGAAAACATTGGTAATAACAATGATATTGTCATTTATTCTGCTACTTAAATACATACCTGTCAAGAGCCTTAAAATAGCGTTCCAAATCTGTACACGCCAGTTCTGAAGTCTACATACAAGAAAATATTTTTTATACAATTAACAAGTAAAGAACAATATTTCAACTATCTTTACATCCATAAATTCATTTTAAAGTCCACACAGGAAGTGATTCGATACGATATATAGAGGAAGTCAGAATTCGTATGAATGCGAAGAAATTCAGTTGCATCATTAATTTTACTTTTAGTGGAACATATTTGAAAGATTACTTTGCATCAGTGGAAGGTGTCAAAGAGGCCTTCCACAATAAGTGTAAATTCACCCAAGAATGTATTAAAGTTGTAACTAATATCCAAGTTAAACTGTAGTAATAATTTAGTGTCTACGAGTAATCTAACCACTGGCGTATGGTTTCAGATTTAATATAAGTTTGTAAACTGACGTGTCTCAATTCAGAAAAACAGGCCAATATCAACAAACAGTAAAATATGCGGGAATGCAGTTAAACTAAGAAAAAAGCGGTCACACAAATTTATAATCTTCTTCATTACAAAGTACAATAAGTCGTTCTGTTTTATGAAACTTATTTTTCGATGCTCACATAGTTTCAGCATTTCTTAATTGTAATGCCTGTTTTATCACACCAGCTCAAGTCTCCGCAAGGTACTGACTAAGTCCCAAAGTATCTGTATGTACTTCAGGAAAGCAGTCACAGCACTACAAGTATATAATTTCCTGTTACGATGTTTATTAA